AGTGATGTTTAAAGAAACATTTTAAATTACCGAAAAGCGAGTTGAATTTCTTCTAAACAATATTATAATGTAATGTCGTCGATAAAAAGACCGATAATGTCCCAAAAAATGTTTAGATGTTTCTCAAATTTTCGAGAAATACAAAAAAATATTCGATAGTATTAAAACAATTGTATCAAGATACTCTATTGTCATCTCATTTACCAGTAGTTAAGAAATATAGCTTTCTATATGTATTTCCCTTGAAAATTAGATATATAATTTTCAAGATTTCTGCCACGCCAAGTTCGTTCTAAATTAAGTAATTCAACTGCATGTAGTTTGACATTTGTTGAAGTCAATCTGCATCTGATAAGATGAACATCTGTTATCGAGATTAGAACCAGAAGCTCATTCGTTTTGAAGTATCACGTCCCGCCAAAGAGTCGGTCGATTCGTTTTCCAGTTTAATTTATCGAAACAAATGCGGCGTAACCGGTTGCGAGAGAAAGAGAGGTACGTCCGCGGATGGAGAAGGAGAAAGAGGATGAGTAGGTTTCCGGATATCGCGTTCGTACAGTTATACATGTACTACGTACGAGAGAAACAGCGTAAAATATAACTCGCGGAATCGCGGCTACTCCGAAGTAGACACCCCGAGAGAGGAACGAACGTATCCTCTCATTGCGTTTGACGGATTTATGAATGGTCCTCTGGACTTACCGGAAGTCGCCGGTCGCGGAGGAAATTTTTAGCTTCACGAGCCGCGAGCGACGAGTTTTTCATCAATCACGCGCACGACATCCTCGGCCGACGAGACACCGTGCGAAAGTTGCTAAAACCGTGTTTGTGCCTTAGAATTACGTGTAATTACACCACGTTGCTTATTTTTTTTTTTTTTTTTTTTGTCTACACCGCGAAGGGGCTGTAAAATGCGTGCGACGCATCCGCCCTTTCCGCTCTACGCCGCTAAAAACCTTAATCGTCGTCGCATATGTTTATGCATTAGTGCCATTAAAGCACGCTCGTTATCGTACAATTAAACGGAGATCGAAGGGCTATCTTCGTTACGTTTTTATATATTTGCTGTTTTGATGTTATTATTATAATTGAATATGTCATTTTAGAGAGGGTCTATCCATAAATCTTACGTGATAAGCATCTATGCAAATAAGTAAATCCCAAATTTTATCATTATACTCGAGTTAACATAACATTCATTAGCGTTAATGTATATAAAGACATTTTTTATTAGCACATTTTATCTTATTAATATTTTAATAGTAAAAAAAATAATTATATATAATTAATATAATTAATATAAAGATTTTTTTATTGCGCAAGAAGCGTTATTAACGATTTTATTTTATCATAGAATCCGCGTTTTTATCTTGATACTACGAAACTTGAAAAAAGATTAACTATCTCAAATCCCTCACCTAATCGAGATTTATCAAAAGCTGTATCGTAATTGTTGCCCGCCCTTCGCGCTGGCGCGAAGGTCATCGTGATCCGCCCTACTATTCGGGCGCCGTTGAAAGAAGGTCACGCGAGAACTGCAGTCATTCTCGGAAAATGCCGACTTGTTTCTTCATCTAGCGTGACGTCAACGTCCCGACGACGACGACGACGACGGCGGCGTCGAACGAACGGACGTACAAGCAGTGGAAAAAGAGATCTGATCCAAGCGCGACGCGGAGGAGAAGGAGGAGGAGGAGGAGGAGGAGGTGGGAGTCTCTCTCGAGACGGTCGAGGTGAGCTACCAGTTAAAGCGTGCGGCTCGGGCATGAATGAACGAACCGGCAAAATCGAATGAAGGAAGAAACGGACCTGCGCGCCCGCGTGTATTAGCCAACTCTTGGTATTTACTCGCGTCATCCGTCGTCTGTGTACGTGCATGTCATCAATACACTCGTACAGCTTCGGTTTGCGCTCGCGCGGTTGGCGGCGAGAGACGGGGGAGGGGTGACAGCGCGCGCGCGCGGTGTGCGCCGACGCCAGTGTTAGTCCACCGCGTGACGGGAGAGCATTCATTCATAAAACTCGGCGAGAAGGTCTGTCGCAGTCGCGGTGGTGGGGGGTCAAGTGTTTCTCATCTCATCTCTCTCTCTCTCTCTCTCTCTCTCTGCGACGCATCCGCCCTTTCCGCTCTACGCCGCTAAAAACCTTAATCGTCGTCGCATATGTTTATGCATTAGTGCCATTAAAGCACGCTCGTTATCGTACAATTAAACGGAGATCGAAGGGCTATCTTCGTTACGTTTTTATATATTTGCTGTTTTGATGTTATTATTATAATTGAATATGTCATTTTAGAGAGGGTCTATCCATAAATCTTACGTGATAAGCATCTATGCAAATAAGTAAATCCCAAATTTTATCATTATACTCGAGTTAACATAACATTCATTAGCGTTAATGTATATAAAGACATTTTTTATTAGCACATTTTATCTTATTAATATTTTAATAGAATAATACACTAATAACTGGAATAGAATCTTTTTATAAACAAATGTGTATTTATATAAAAAGAGAACATACATATAGATACAACATAAATTTATTTTTGACTTCGACATTAGGTTATATAATAAAATAATTATATATAAATA